GCACATAATTTCTACAACGCAGGGAAATTTTAAGTTCATAGACATAGGTGTAAATAGTGGTAGAGCCATACTCCTATACCTACACATGCTAGTAGAAAGGGTTGCTCAGGGTGAATTGATATTGTATCCTTCTGTGAGGCACCACCTTGTATGTCCAGCTTGGGGTCAGAAGAGGAACACGAAATCAGGAAAGGGAAATGGGATATCTTTTCAGCCCTCTCCCCACCATTTCTAATGCTAATTTAAATTACAACAGCACCTGCTGCCCAATTTAAATGGTTCTGTTTCTTTGTCGTCTTGAAATGTGTTTCTGTACTGATAAAACTTAGCATTAGGGACAATTGATTTAGTAACTTGCTCTTTTAAGACCCTTTGTTGATAAGCACACGACTAGTCTGAGTGGTGGTAACAGTGTGTTTAAAATGTACTTATACAAATGAAAAGATTTGCACAAAGCCTGTTCATGATAGAGGGCTGACACATTAATTTGCCTTGAATATATGAATAAATGAGGAATTAATGAACAATTGGAAGCACAGAGAAGGAGAGATATGGAAGAATCATGTAAGGAATTAATACTTAAATGTTTTTAATTGTTCCCAGAAGATAAACATATTGGAATAAGCTCACCCCAGGATATATATTATAGATACTGTTTTACATTCCTTTCACAACGGTTGAGAAACAAGTCTTCCATATATTTTTAGAAGTCCCTGATTTAGAAATGTTTAAAGAGAGGCTAGCGTTTTATTTTCATGGAGTCTATAGGGGGTTTGATATGCTTGATTATACAAAAAGAAGCTCATAATGAGGACTTACTCAGACCAAGTCTCTTACAACGGTGAGATGCTGAGAATTGGTAAAAAGTTAGAAAATACTACAAAACGCCAAGAACATATTTTAAAAATTGCACCAGAGTCCGTAATAGCAGCATCTCTTTCTCACAGGCCTGAGATTCTGTTTGGAGGTTGAAAAAGTAAACGATTTCATCTATTGTCATTAAGAAATCTTCACTTGTAAATGTTAAATTCCCTAATTATTCTGTATTTATCAGAATATTCCCCTGTGGTTTTACATTTTTTGAAGTCTAGAACTTTGTCCTTTTTTTTTCTTTTTCCTTCCTATTTTACCTATTAAGGAATCTATATTTATAACAGTTAAAAGTTTTGTGATTACTCTGTGTTTATCAAAATACCCCCTTGTGGACTTTAAGTTCTTCCGAAGGCCAGAATTTTGTCCCTCTCCTCTTTGTTTTAATTCCTAGCACTGTGGCCTGGACAGAGTAGGCATTCAATAAATCCCAGGAGATTGAACCACTTGTTGCCATCAACAAGTGGAGCGGGCACAGTGTCTGCCCTCATGGCATTTACCCATGGAAGGGTGTGAGGTGGGCAGTGCAAGAAGAGCCACACAAAATCCCAAAAGGTGAAACACTGTGAAGAGAAGAGGCTCCGTTGACAAAAAGACAGATTGCTTTGGACGGAATGAGCAGGGTCAGCACCACCGAGAAGCAGCCATTATGCAAAAACTTGAAAAATACAGAGCTGCCTTCTGTAGGGAACCAAGTCAAGGCAGAGGGGAGGGTATGCATGTGTTTAAGGAACTAAAGAAACCACTTTGGTCCCTGAATCACTCACAATCCCAAATATATCTCAGCGTTATTCATATTCACATTAGCCAAGATCATGAAAACAACCCAAGTGTCCATTGGCAGATGAATGGATAAAGTAAAGATGTGTGTATTTGTGTATATATACACATACACACGGAAATAGTGTTCAGCCTTAAAAAAGGAGATACTTCCATTTTTAACAGTTATTGATGAACCTGCAAGACATTATGCTTAGTGAAACAGATCTATAAAGAAAAAAATGTATCATCTCATTTACCTGTGGAATCTAACAGTCAAATACGTAATATCAATGAGTAGAACGGTGACCACCAGGCACCAGGGAGTGGGGGAGGGTACAACGTTGCAGTTAGTAAGGTGAATAAGTAGAGAGATTTAATAAGGTACAGTATGGTGGTATAGTTAATAATGTTGTATTGAAAACCGGAAGTTTGCTAAGAGTACAGATTATCACCACACTCAAAAAATGGTAACTATGTGAAGAGATATGTTAATTAATTTGACTGCAGTAATCATTTCACTATGTTTATGTGTATAAAACATCATCGTGTACACCTTACATATATCCAGTTTTTATTTAAAAATGTATTTACGTGGGGCGCCTGGGTGGCTCAGTGGGTTAAGCGTCTGCCTTCGGCTCGGGTCATGACCCTGGGGTCCCGGGATCGAGCCCCAAGTCCGGCTCTCTGCTCAGTAGAGAGTCTGCTTCTACCTCTGCCCCACTCTCCCACTTGTGCACTCTCTCTCCTCTCAAATAAAGAAATAAAATCTTTTAAAAAGGTATTTACTCAACATTATTTTTCACTTGCATCTCTGCCCATCCCTGATTGAGAAATGATGGCAAATTTCATTATAAATGTGATTTTCTATTTTTTTATTATTATGTTATGTTAATCACCATACAATATATCATTAGTGTTTGATGTAGTGTTCCATGATTCATAGTTTGCGTATAACACCCAGTGCTCCACGCAGAACGTGCCCTCTTTAATACCCATCACCCAGGCCAACCCATCCCCCCCCCTCCCCTCTAGAACCTCAGTTTGTTTCCCTGGAGTCCATAGTCTCTCATAGTTTGTCTCCCCCTCCGATTTCCCCCCTTCATTTTTCCCCTCCTGCTATCTTCTTCTTCTTCTTCTTCTTCTTCTTCTTCTTCTTCTTCTTTTTTTTAACATATAATGTATTATTTGTTTCAGAGGTACAGTTTCTATTTTAATACCAGGTAGAATATTTACAGAATGCCACATTATCTGACACACTATAGGTTCTTTGCCCAAGACTGGGTATACATTTTCTCTTTTTATGGAGCATTAATAGTATGGAGTAAAGATTATCCTTTAACAACAGGCTCTGGCTGATTGTTGAGGCTAACCACTGACAAAAGCCTCTCTGATACCCTTTGCCTTGGCTTGACAAAATCACAAAATGGCCATTTTTACACCCCTAATGAAAGCACAGTTATGTAGTGAGACCCCCTGTGTGTGACTCATTACAAGTTGTCCAACCATGACCCTCAGACATTAATGGATTATCATTGCTTCCCTGCAGGGTGCTGCACAAGGCAGGACTGAATACATGTGTCAGGAAGGTGATGGGAATGAACCTGCCGGTCTCAATGATGATCCTTCAATTCTTTTATTCTCTTCTTGTTGGACAATGGTCACTTATAAATAGACCCATGAGAAAGAAAAAAAAATGAAATAAAACCAGGCTCAGGTCCTAAGCTTCATATGCAATATTGATCCTGGTTTGCCATAGCTATCAACCTCAACACCTGTTTCAAAGCAGCCTGCTAAAATAATGCATTCACACAAACACTGCAATTTGAAAGAGTAGATTTTTATAATAAATTATAATAACTGTATCACTAATTTTAGTAGGAATTTCAAATAGCAAATTTAATGTATTCCATATTAGCATTGATCAGAAAAGCATCTATTTACAGCCTGCTCAGGACTGCACGCATTAAGTTGGGTATTAGTTGGAAGACTGCCTTTCTTCTGGTGCCTCATACTCTTTCCTTTCAGGTCTAACAAACAGCCATTTGGTACTTTTTTACAAGATTACAGAGTTTCAGATCTACTCTGAAATAGATCCCATGAAAATGTATTTCCAGTATTATGGTTTCTGTTTATCTATCCATTTACTATCTATATCACTTTCTTCTATTATTCCATCATTTATTATCTATCTCTTTCATCTCTCTATTGATTGACCAATCTATCTCTGTATCTCTTATCAATCTTTTATCTGTATCTGTTTTTTATCTATCGATTGATTGATCTAACTGCCTATCTATAACTTCTATATATCTGTCATCTATTAATTACTTTCATATCTATTTATCTATCTATCATTTATCTATCATCTATCTAATCTACCTAACTCCCCATTCCTTTTCCTAGTTCTCTTTGCCACTCAGATTTCTAGCCTAATTTCATGACATCTCTTACTCTCTTTCTCCTTGATTCCAATATTGGTCACGGAAGAAAGCATTTCTTCTTTCAGGAGAAAAGGACTCTGTGCTCTATAAAAAGAGATTCATAGAATCATAATATATAGCTGTATCAGACATAAACTGATCATATCTAGTTGGTATGTTGTCAATCACCACGACAGAGGTGTTCTTTTTTTCTTTTTTTTTGAAGATTTTATTTATTTATTTGAGAGAGAGAGAATGAGAGATAGAGAGCACGAGAGGGAAGAGGGTCAGAGGGAGAAGCAGACTCCCTGCTGAGCAGGGAGCCTGATGCGGGACTCGATCCCGGGACTCCAGAATCATGACCTGAGCCGAAGGCAGTCGCTCAACCAACTGAGCCACCCAGGCGCCCGACAGAGGTGTTCTTTAAGAAATAAAGCTTCAAGGCTTTGCGAAGTTAAACGTAGAGGAAAACTTTCTAGCCTCAGATCTTTTTAATATGTTAATATGGATAATTAAATAAAATCTGCATACATTACTCTAAAAATATTTATTCCAGAGTGTTTGGGTGTCCTCAAAATATATTAAAAGAAATATTAAAAGAATTAACATATGAGATATATTTAAAAGAATTAAAAAAAGAATTAATGAACAATTCTTTTGCTTATATTATTTTTGGGTCCTCCTAAGCACTGTAAAAAATAAATATTTGATAGACATCTGACTTAAAGCATAACATGGGTTAATTTCACTTTTATTGCTGATAATCAGTATCTCTGGAGTGTTAGCAGTTTTGAATTCTTTAAAATTCTGTAACTGAGAGTCTTCAAATGTATACAAGTATCCGTAGATAATATACAATGATCCATAGTCACACTACAACTGGATATTCACATCCCAAAATCATGGAAAGTTCCTGAGAGGCTAAAGAAGGATCTTTGCTTTATTTAGGTCATCAAGCTGGCGTTCGAGGAGTTCGAACTGGAACGAGGCTATGACACACTCACGGTGGGCGATGCTGGCAAAGTGGGCGATGCCCGGACGGTCTTGTACGTGTAAGTACGGGGTGCAGTGTCTCTTCCCCTCTTGGGCGTGCGGCCGGCTGTGCCAGCATGGATGGGTACTTGCCAAGCCAGTAGTGCCCAAATCTGATTTCACATGACAACTAAATCAGGCTTACGTTTCATCTGTTTCGACTCTTTTTCCCCTCAAATTATTAAAAACTATGGCAAACATTAGAATATACAGAAGAGTATAAAGTAGAAATGGTAGTTTCTCGACCAGCCCCTCCTTCTTAGCGTTCTCTTTCTACTTCCCTGTGGCATTACCTTCTCAGTGTTCTTAGAAGTACAAGTATTGTCTAGAGTAATACCGTAGGTCTTACAAAAGCCCTTGCAGTCTGTGAGAGCACGTGCTGCAAGTAGAGGCTGGGGGGTAATAGCACTGGGATAACTGACGGTGTATCTGTGGCACTCGGTATACAGGGTCCAGAAAAATACAATCACAGCCTTGATATGAAAATTAGCACATGAATGCCTGCCCTGCCACTTGCACGGGGAGTCAGTCTGCCCTGCGGTGCTGTACCCCGAAGTCTTTACCTGCTCCCCGATGTTGGACCTTGAGGACACTTTTGTCACTTTCATGAGACCCATGCTATCCAAATTGAAAACATGATGTGGGAGAATCCCTACTCATCAAGGTTGTCAGCACGGAGGGAAACGTCTTTGTAGCTTTTCCTCCAGCGTTAGCAGCTCCTACTACTACCAAGCTGGAAACCTCTTTCTTTAATGGAGGTTATTCTGCCATTTTCCACCTTTTTATTTTTTTTGGTTTACTTGTACAATGCTCAGGCTTGCTTTTTGTTTGTGGGGGATCTTGCCCCTGATACTGTTGTAGGATTGCAGGGTTCTTATCACAGAGTCGAGGAATGAATCTCATGGACCCAAAAGGGTGAAGTGCAAGTTTATTAAGTGAAGGTGATAACAGAAAGGAAAGAAAAAGCTCTGGAGAATGAGAGGGGTCCCAAACGGGTTGCCACTGCAGGCTTTTATGGTCAGTCTTTTACAGAAAACTGACCAGAGAACTTCCTAGATATCTCATCTATAACATTTAAGACAAATAAGGTGGATTTGTAACTACCATGTAAATATCTTGTCTATGCTTAGGACAGACAAGGTGGATTGTTATGTTCCCTTCTCTTTGGTTAATATCTTGTCTGTAACATTTCTCCACACCTAGGATTTCTGTGAGCCTGGCCGCCTAGCCCCCCTGTGTGAGCCTGCTCAGGGGAGTTAGGGGCCTCCTATCTCTCCCTGCCTTTACCTTAACGCTTTTCTTATTCAATACCTTCAACTTATTGTTCTGCTAGAGAAAAACAGTACTGGCTATTATACGCACTCATTCTATATTTACCAGTTGCTTATAAGGTAATTCACATTTTTAAAAAGTGCTGTAGATGAACATGCTGTCCGTGCCTTTAACAATGAATGGGTCCATATTCTGACTACATTGGTAATGTACCCTTGTCATTTATTATATATTGGACATCTTTCCCTACCAGTACGTGACTCTATCTCATCTTCTTATGGGTAATTACACTAATAATAATAATTAAAATCATGTTACTGGCCCATGATTTATGATAATAATTATAATAGTAGCATTAGTAATATAGCTAATATTCATTGAATATCTCATATATCATGTGCTGGGCTAAATGCCTCCTACATATTATCTTATTTAGTCCTTACCTAAATCCTGTAAGTTAGGGGTTAATAGTATCCTCATATTATAAATGACAAGACTAAGAGGTAGGTAGATTAAAGGATTTACCCCTAGGGCTCCTGGGTGGCTCAGTCATTAAGCATCTGCCTTCAGCTCAGGTCATGATCCCAGGGTCCTGGGATCAAGTCCCACGTCAGGCTCCCTGCTCGGCAGGGAGCCCGCTTCTCCCTCTCCCTCTGCCTGCCTCTCTGCCTACTTGTGCTCTCTATCTCTCTGTCAAATAAATAAATAAAATCTTTAAAGTAAATAAAAAAAAAGGATTTACCCCAACTTGAAAACCCATGATATGTTGATATGTATATACTGGTATACACTGGATATATGTAGATATTTAAATCCAGTTATTGTTCTCCAGTGTCTGCTGGATATGGATACAGCATGTTTCTTAAGGGATTCTCACTGATGGTCTTTTGCCTTCCCCTGCCTACCTCATCCTTTGCATTTATAAGCAGCCGTGCAGTAAACAACTCCGTACAAATACCTGGCCACACTTGTTTTGTATGCCTCCAGGGAAATTTGTGGCAGGTGAATTTTAGGGGTAAACGGTAACTTCATTTACATTGTTATCTTTCCTCAAAATTTCCCCTAAATTTTTTTGGTAGAAACTTTTCTGTTCTTCTGCCACATTATATGAAGGTCCCTATTCCCCCACCCTCACCAAATAGTTATTCTTTTTTGCCAATTGTTAGACAGGAATTGCCTCTATTTATAAGAATGTCTTTCCTGCAGGGTGGAGCCCTGACATCTGTGTTGTTTGTAAGCTGCCACGCTGATTGCACACTCCCGGCCTGGTGTTGGTGTGCAGGAGTATTTGTCAGCACTGACAGAGTGGATAGGAATGGAGCCAGAAGGCCAAAGATGGAGTTTCTGGTTCTAGCTTTGCTATTAACCACCTCTCCAACCCTGAGGAAGTCACTTCACCTCTCTGTACCTCTGTTTTCATGCCTATAAAATATGTATAATAAACTTTTCCTGCCTATGGCAAGGAGCAAAATGAACTAATGCATGTTAAAGTGTTGTAGAGTTAAGAAATGTAACCCACAAGTGAAGTAGCTTTATTATTACCATAAGAGCTAATTTAAGAAAGGTGTCACTAAAGCAAATGAGAGAAAATTTTAAATAAATGCAAAATATAAAATATAAATGGAGCAAAGTAATGCCATATAAAATCCCTTAGGTAACTATTAAAGATCTAAAGTCAGACACCCATTTTTAAAATGCTTTTTGTTTTTAAGAGAGCAAGAGCAAACAATGTATTACATTGACATAAGTGTTATTAGAACTTCCTCTGGATAGCTCAAATCTATAAATGAAAAACTAAATAGCCAACTGAATCAAACTGAGATGCCCTTTGGGAGACATAATGTTACAAAGATCAGTTGGGCATTTAATCAGCTGCAGAGAGAAAAGAGAAGCCACTGATACATTTTCTTAGTATACAAAATTACAGAAAAAAAAAAAGAAGCCAGTCAGAGAATCACAGCTGGTGTCTTCAAATAAACAGGTACTTTTATAGAATACATCAACAAATATTTTTGAGTACTTATATGCAAGACTTTATTCTCAGCACGGAGTTGAAAATCTAATTGGAGAGATGGCAGATACATGGGGCTAGTTATATACCAGACAGAGTATAAAATCATTGGATCTCATGATGCAGATTTCAAATAAAATATGAGCTAAAAAACTTCTTTATGGAAGACTAGTATTTACTACCTCAGGCTCACTATGTTATTATAGGTTCCTCCTTTTGGGGTTGGGGGGGATGGAATTCTAGGCTTGGATTTTCAGGAAAAATTTAGAGAGTGAGCTACCTAACCAGCTCATTCTAAATGTGGTTTTCAATTTTTGGATTTTTGTTAATGGTGTTTTAGTTTCTTAACATTCTCGGCACAAAAAGAGAACAACTGAATTTAGGAGACCGTTTTATTAGTTTAATCTTCCCAAGAGATGAATGGATTTACTCAGGTTATTTTTACAGAGGGACAGGCTTAAAATTAAATAAGTTACTTAACAAATCTCTGTTGAGATCCATCCAAGAATATATATTGATAATTGTCTTGAATTTAATTTGCAGAAGAATTGCATCTGGAATTCCCTCTGGCCTTTTCAGTTATTAGCAATTGGTGGCTGGGGGATTGCTTTAATTTCAGGTTATAGGTTTTAAATGTCTGTGCCTCTAAGGGGATGAATAGCCAACCTCAGGGAGGTCTGAGAGTAATACTGCCTCTGTCCTGCTAGATTTGTGGATTAATTGCAAAGGATTAGTATCCTTTGGTTACTAATGGTCAGTTATCTATTATTTCTGAAACTGCTTCTTATTTCTAGAAGCTTCCCAAGCCCTTGTAAACTGTGTCCACATCCCTCTGCTGTTGTTGGCAAATCCTGAGCCGAAGGGAATCATTCTCTTTTTATTAAAAGACTGTGGAACAGCCACACAACAGCAAACACTAAAAACTGATGTTTCCCTGTTTATGTATCTTTGATATCATCAGACGAGCCAATCAATATATCTCTTAGTGCTTTGGAGAAAAGCTTGAGCAGTTTATGTTAGGAAACTTAAAGGCTTTCTCGATAAAAACCCATGTTTTCATGATTAGAAATCGAGTACACTCCTTAGGTTCTTGGAAGTCTGGAGTCTCATGATCACAAGCATTTTTCTTCATATTCTCATTCTCCTAATGGCATTGCCTGTGCGCATGGGTACATCTGATAGCACAGATCAGACTCATGCTACAACACCATTCTTCACGCAGACTTTATCCATGGTAGCTTTCCTGTCTCTGCCTGTTTATCTGGGAGGCTTCTTCCTCAATTCTTTGAAGAAATATTTATTGCAATTCAGACATTATAGCAGGATTTGGGGGGGAGGGGTCTTGAGGGGAATGGCCAGCATGTGGAGAAGGCAGAGGCTGCCCAGGCTTTGTTAGATCCCTGGAGAGGACAAGCAGAGCAGGACCCTCTCTCCATATGCTACGGTATCCAGATTCTCTATTCCAACAACCCCATCAGTGGGGAAATAAATAGACCGCTGAACATCAGCATTTTAGCTTTAGGATACCAGCTGTTTCAGAGGTGTCTGGGAGGGCAAGATGACCCAGGACCTTGGGGCCCCATGGAAAGTTGTCTTTGGAGGCAACCTTCCTATAGGGGAGAAGCCAAAAGTCCCAAGGGAAGCATAGCTCACCTGCGGTGCCTGATGGAGATGGAGTGGGGTGAATGCCAACTGATTTGGGGCCCTGACAACCTGAGCCACTTTCCAAATGTCCTG